GTCAGAAGAAAGTGAAAGTGAAGCTCTCCACTTTGGTATAAAAGCTGATCCATTAGCAGCAGAAGGCCAGAACACCATGGCTCAGGTAAGTCCCTGGGACATTTCCATCAGTGGCTCTATAGCAGGGCGGGGCGTGGGCACTTTGCTGCTCCAAACAGCTCAGTCTGGGTTCCTGGCCTTGGGCACTCTTAACTCTAGAGCTTGGAAAGGCTTTACATGGCTTTCACAGAAAACTGTATTTGTGGTTTAAAAGTCCTTTTTCCTGCAGGACTGTGAGGTCTTCCAGCAGAGTCAGGCTCCTCTGTGTCTGGCACAGTGTGTGTGTCGGGGGGGGTGTGGGGGGGTGGGGCTGGGATCCACGTGTAGGAGGAGCAGTGCGCATCTGGGAGCTGTGGCTGGCTGAGCTGGGAAAGAAGCTGGAGTATGGCCATGGAGGGACCGCGGAACTTGAAAGTGAGTGAACCCCCTCCTTGTCTGCCTCAGCTGCTGGCTGGAGTTTGGGGCCTTCCCAGCTCCAGTCCTTTCTCTCGCCTCTTTCCCCCATGGCATTAGTCCTCCCTTATTAAGTGCATTCAAATTTCAGCGTTCTGACTCTGAAACCTCCCCTCTCATCAGCCCTGATCTCCAGATTTGACGCAAGTTCCAGGGAGGAGCAGGCAGAGCTCAGCGGTGTGCCATGAAAAGGAATCACCTGACTCGGGCTATTACTGGAAATGAGGCAGTTCTGGGAAGACACACTGCACATTCCAGAGGGCAGTCCACCCTGTGCATCACCTGATTCTGAGAAGGGCTTTCTCGCTGCCAAAATGAATCAGGGCTCTGTTGCCTGGGGAACCATCTCCTCATCCAGGCAGGGCCCAAGCTCACAGTTCATCTCCCACCAGCTGCCATGGACGGAGCCCGGGCCTTGCCTTAGACAGTCAGTTTCAGAGTGAAAAAATCCCCTTGATTGCAAAGTGGAGATTGTCTCTGTGCCTGCCCTGCCCTGGCTGAGGGAGAGGGGGAATGGGCGGGCCCTGCTGATCCTCCAGCCCTGGTCCGTGTATATTTCCTTTGCTCCCATCCCAAGCCAGGCCTTTTGCTAAACCCTGGAGATGCAGGGAGGGAGAGGAGCATACGAGATCTTTCCTAAATGGAACGCATAGCTGGGGTGGGGCGGGCGACAGAATGGCAGAGAGAACTGCGGCACATGACCCACGCAGGGAGAGGTGGGGGTCCCAGGGGGCCTGGGGACCCAGGGAGTGGCAGCTGAGCCAGGCTGGGACCTTCAGGGCTGTTTCTCAGAAGAGTGACATCTGATGGGGGAAGAGAGGAAGAGTGGATGTGGGGAAGGTGGTTGGGGACAGAAATAGCTGATGTGCAGAGCATCAGAGACAAGAGCAAGCTCTGTGGTGAGGGAAAAGAAGTGATTCAGTCAGCCTGGGGGCAGAGCACAGGGAGGGCAAGGAGGGGTGAGGAAGGACCGGTCATGAGAGCCTGGGAGCTGCCAAGGGGTGTGCCCTGTGCCCTAAGGCCAGAGGAACGTCATGGCCAGATGTGCCCTCTGGGAAGGCCACAGGGGGTGTTGGGGAGACTGGATGTGGAGTGGCAGGGACAGGAGGAGAGGGGCTGGTGGAGAGACTGTGGGGAATTTCCCAGAATTCCCAGAGTCGTCCCAGTTCCCAGAGTCTGAGCAATGCCTAGAGTTGCCCCAGACGCAGGGACAGGGTTTGCCTGAACCCAGTCGGTGGGCAGGAAGTGGAGAAGTAAGTAATTCAGGAGAAACCTCCAGGGTCAGCACTGGTGGTTGGTATTGTCATGAGAAAGAGGACAAAGGTCAGCTCACCCCTGGCCTCACACTGGACAACCTGGGATGAGGGATGGAGGAGGTTTGTCATTCTCAGAGATCAGGCACAGAGAGGGAGAAAACGGAAAAGTTCTCAGATCACAAAGCTGCAGTGCCCTGAGGCAGGACAACCAGGAGCGGGAAGGAGAGTGGAAGGGGAGAAAGGCAGGGAGGAATCATGGCCATGGGGAGAAGTGATGGAGAGGACCCAGCTCAGCCACTTCCCAGCTGACTGTTCTCAGGCAAGGTCCTTCACCTCTCTGATCCTCAGCTTCCCACCTGAGCAATAGAATGACACTTTCTTCCCAGGGACGGTGTGAGGGTTGCAGTTATTGCAGGAAAAGGGCCAGCAGAGGCCAGCTGTGTGAGCGCAGCAGCCTCCTCAGTGCTGGAAGCTGGGGGGCCCCACAAGGGTCCCCTCGAAGGCTCAGCTCCCATTGAGATGCTGTCAGTTTGTGTCTCTCAGGCGGGCATCTCCAAGGATGGGAGTCCCAAGGCTGGAAGAGACTGAGTCTAAGGAGGAGGAGGAGGTGCTCACTCTTGTCTCCCAGCTGACGTCACCCAAAATAAAAACCCTTTCCTTGCCATAAGCCTGGTGTTCCAGCTTTTATGTGGCCCCTCTTGTGTGGTGGGTAAAGAAGCTATGTTTGTAGCTGGTAACAATTTGACGAGCCAGCCAGGAGACTCTTGTCCGTGGCTCCGTGGCCCTGGGCCAACTGGGATCTCCTGGGAAGCAGTCCAGCAGCTGCCTTGGTGATCTGCCCGAGGGGCTGCCCCAGTGCTTTCCATCTGACCCAGCACCCTGGCTCTAGGCACGTTTTCTTCTGGGAAGGAAACAGGGTCTAGATTTGTTTGTTTGCTTTTCCTTCTGGTGAGTGGTCGGACTCAATCTGGAATCAGGTAAGTTGCCTCGGGGACGCCCGTGAACTTCCTTCCCCTCCATCTGTGGTCCTTCCACTTATGGCAGGGCCGTCTAGGGTCCTTTCCATTCAAGGAGGAGCCATCTGGGTGTGCATTTGGAGTAGCAACAGTTGTAGGACTTTCTATCCTAAATCTGGGAACCGGTTCACTGGTGTCTGGTTTTTCTGTGTCTGGATCTGTGTGTCTGTCCATCTCTGTGTATCGGAATGGAGAACGTGCTGTCTGTCCTAAGCAGAGCCCATTGGGGCTGATTCTGAGCAGACACTCTCATTATAGTTATAAGCCAATGGCTAAAAAGGGATGATTTTCTTTTGTAACACCACACAGCCACAATAGTCTTTAGCTTCCAGAGAGAAAATGGCCAAACAATGGATCCTTAAGTTGGAAAACTTTTAGAGAGCTCTGGGCACAAATAGCTCTTTTATTAATACCCATAAAAAGACCAAATTAAAAGGAAAATACAGCGATTAGTCTTAAAAACTTAACCAAACTTCGGGTCTCTGCTTCTTCTCATGGTCTTATAGATGCTCATGAAAACATTAAGTTAACAAAGAAAAATCAGAGAGAGAAGAGTCACAGGACTCAGCCCAACAGGATGGAAATCTTCAACTAGTTATTAAAAGGAAAATGGGATAAATGGAACTGACACGAATAAAGTTAAAACAGGTTTTAATAAACACTGCCTAAGGTTGGATGGGCTAAAGGGACCCCTATAGGCCCTCCCCCAACATTAGGGGACCTCAGACAGGCCTGTTCTGTTGACCCCAGTTTAAAAAAAATTTAACAACTCAGAAGGCAAAAATCACAATGATAAAGCTGACCGACAATTGTTTGGGGCAACAGTTAGGCCGCTCAAGTTGATCAGACTATGAAGATTAAAGTGTTTACGCTCGTATCGCATAAGGAGGTTATGCCAACTTTGCCTGAGTGGTTTTTGGGGAGTGGATGTTATGCTGAGCTGGGAATGCTTCCCCTATATAGTATATAAGACCGAGACTTGTTACTGTACTCAATGGAAGCTATGATTGAAGGTATAAGAGTTAATAAATTTGAGGAAGGTTGGTATATTTAAACGGGCTTTATGTAAAATGATTACATCTCTTTTGTCTGATTGTATTGTACATTACGTCATGGGGATAAACGTTACATTTCACTGGGGAACGTTTCTCCTGCCTGATATTGTAAGAGCATAGAAATCCCCGCTTCAGTGTTAATTAAACATGCTAGAGGAGATCTCATTTTAAAATGGCCAAAATGGGGCAATTTCAGTTTCCCCAAACTGGTGTATTTACATATGCTGTTGGAAAAAGCCAGCTGCAGCAACAGGAAGCCTATTTTAATCTTTTGAGGCTTCTAAATAAAATCAGGAAGACTTTCCTGCCTCTTTGAAAGAAAATAATTAAATACTTAAATAATTAAATCTGCTGCTCCTCTCTCTTTTGTTGCTGAGCTTCCCCACTTCAACTTCCCCAAAATTCCTGAGCTAAAATTAAAGAGTAAAAATAAGTAAACTTGGGGCCGGCCCGGTGGTGCAGCAGTTAAGTTTGCATGTTCTGCTTCGGCGGCCCGGGGTTCGCCAGTTTGGATCCTGGGTGCGGACATGGCACCACTTGGCAAGCCATGCTGTTGTAGGTGTCCCACGTATAAAGTAGAGGAAGATGGGCACGGATGTTAGCTTAGGGCCAGTCTTCCTCAGCAAAAAGAGGAGGATTGGCAGCAGTTAGTTTAGGGCTAATCTTCCTCAAAAAAAAAAGTCAGTAAACTTTTAAGATAATTGGAAATTGTAGCGGCCATTCTGGGGAACCTCTGATTCAGATGAGTCCACCTTCAGGGTCACCTTTAAAAGAGAAGATTTAAACCTCTCCTAACGGAATGTAGTCTTTGATTAATATGCAGAAACTTCTGAAAGTCAAAGTTATTGGATGTGATATAAAATGATCTGTGGCAAATAAGAGCTTATTAAAACTTACTGGATTGCTTTAAAATAGGCTTGTCCTCAGAGGCATCAACACTGGCTATAAGGCAGAAAAACTGAAAAGTTCTGAAATCACAAAACTGTGGTGTCCTCGGCCAGGGAATTGAGGCCAGGAAGGAGGGTAGGAGAGGAGGAAGGCAGGGACAGGTTAGACCCAGGGGGAGGAGTGGCAGAGAAGACCCAGCTCGGCCACTTCCCAGCTGACTGTTCCAGACAGGTTCCTTTGTCACTGAGCAAGGGCTCGCTGCCCGATGCCCACGGAAGCCAACACTATGGCACTGGCTTTTGAAAAAAGAAAGAACTTTATTGTGAGGTCATCTGGCAAGGAGACAGGAGGCAAGGCTCTCAAGTTTGTCAGATCTGTCATCCTGAGGCCATGAGTTCCCACCCGGCACATGTGCTGTGCCGGGTCTGATGTTGAGCAAGGCTTGATGAAAACAACCTGCTTTAACACAGCAAAAAGAGCGTAAGCTGGTCAATGTTTTATGTGCTGTTTTCCCTTTACCTCTCTGAGCCTCAGCTTCCCACCTGAGCAATGGAGTGATGCTACTTCCCTGGACGTGGTGGGAGGGCTGCAGTTATTGTAGGAAAAGGGCCCAGGGCTGGCTGTGTGAATGCAGCAGCCCGCTCAGTGCTGGAAGCTGAGCGGCCCCACAACGGTCCCCTGATGGCTCAAGTGCCATTACAGTGCTGTCAGTTTTCGTCTCTCAGGTGGGCATCTCCAAGGGTGGATGTCCTGAGGCTGGAGGTGACGGATTCTGAGGAGGAGGAGGTGCCTGGTGCAGCCACGCACAACCAGGGGCAGGAGGCGTGATGACGATTTGAGGGTCATTCTGCAAAGAGCAGAGAATCTCCAGACTCACCCATGCAACCATGCTGGGAATGGGCCTGGGGCTGCCACATTCAGGCTGTCGTGTCAACAAACTCAGGAGCACATGCACAAAGCACCTGCATATACATGTCTGCCTCCTCGTTATGCACACACAACACACACACACAACATACACATACACAACACACAGACACAGAAGACATGCTTACACGTATGCACATACATACAACACACACAAGCAAAACACACATACACATACATACATACAGAACACAAACAGGCGTAATATACACACTAGACAAATCTCCACTCTCCCATTTCACAAGGTCATTTTTTCTAGGCTTCCAATCCCTGTTTGTAGGGGAACCTCTAAAGGTGACAGCAGGCTGAGCACCCCACAGGGGTTACGAGATCTTCCCCCGACCCCAGGCTCACACCAGTGATGAACGTCAGCAGGAGGGTCCCCAGGCCGAGCTGCAGCTCCCCAGCCAGGGTCTCTGATGTCGCCTAGCAGCCTATCAACACCATTTCTGGTTTTTCTCTTCCAGTTTTACCAAGATCTCAAGCCTGGAGAGGTGATGGAGATTTCTGGCATTGGCTATAAAGAATGGGCAATCTATGTGGGAGATGGTGATTTGATCCGTCTGGCTCCAATGAGTAAGGACTGTTGAAAATATAATTTTCAGAATATTTGTTACCATAATGAGATCAATGGGAAGAGAGAGCTGAGCAAGGGAAACCTGAGTTGGGTTTTCTCTGAACAGCACTTGAGCAGACCGAACATCCATGTCCTACTGAGTCATCACAGGGGGTCCCATAGGTCCTGCCAGAAGCAAGGAAAGAGGTTGTGGGCTCATCCACTGAAGCCGGGGGGCTTCAGCACTCAGATCTGTCTGGCTGACCAGTTTGCCCTGGTATGCAGACTCTGATATGACTTAACCCACAAAATGGTTAAAAGTTTGTGGAGATAAATAAACTGTCTCTTAAAGAAACTTTAAGGTCTACAGTCTAAGGTTTATGGTCTTCAAGAAAAAAGCATGTTTCTCAGTGCTATGTCCTTTGTACTCACATGATTTTACAGACAAGGTGTCTTGAGACTAGTTACTTAACACTCCTTAAGAGAAGCAGCTTTCACAGGTTTATACATCAAAAACAACTCTCATACAAGTGAACAGTAAGTACATGTGAACAATTTATTTAACTCATTGATAACAGAAGCAGTAGGATGATAAATCCAGTTAAAAGGAGAATGCAGGGAACACATGAATGTATAGACAATGAAAGAAACAGAAAGCTGGAAAAAGCCTACTAAATTAGATGCACATGGTTCGTGTCCTACAGCGCAACGGTACCTCAACCTTTGATGGTCTCTTCTCCACCAAGCGTCTGCATTCCCACTGGGCAATAATCATTGTCATCACGATGGGAATAATTTATATCCATCTTATCAGTTTTCTGTGAGCTATCATCTACCTTGGCAGAGTTGTAAAAATATCTGAATTGATGGTAAAACAAGCTGACAATCCAGATGCCCCCGAGGGGGGCTTGTAAGGGAAAGCATGGCAGTGATGACATGTGGTCCTTTTAGTGCCTAACTTCCAGGGTGTGGGTAGTTTTTTTTAAGGACATAGATTCTAAGTGCAAACAGCAGTCTTTCGATTAGAAACATCCTTAATTAGAAAGCTCATTAGTGACTCTCCCTCTTAGAAAGTTAAGCCTGCACTCACCCTAGGATGGAATTTGGATTGCATGAGCTGATGGCTCTTCTGTGGCCCTCTCCATGTGCCCAGAGCGGTGCCCGGTCCTAGGAGAGAAGACACTCACTTGAGGGATTCCCTAAGGCTCAGCTCAGCGCCATGGAAGGAGCCTGCCCTTTGGAGGTTGAGAGAGGCAGTTTCACACTTGGGTTCTAGGATTTTCCACAGCATAGAAAAGTCTGAAAGGGGCCAGCCCGGTGGCGCAGCGGTTAAGTGTGCATGTTCTGCTTCTTGGCAGCCCGGGGTTCATCGGTTTAGATCCCGAGTGCAGACATGGTACCGCTTGGCACATCATGCTGTGGTAGGCATCCCACATATAAAGTAGAGGAAGATGGACACGGATGTTAGCTCAGGGCCAGGCTTCCTCAGCAAAAAGAGGAAGACTGGCAGTAGTTAGCTCAGGGGTAATCTTCCTCAAAAATAAAAAAGAAAGAAAGAAAAGTCTGAAAATATCTCTCTGGGTCCAATATTGGTTGTAAAATGGAGATGATAATATTTACCTTGAAAGTTAAAAAGGAGATTAAATTGGGTAATATGTGAAAAGTTTCCCAGCATAGTGTCTGAAACACAATGGGTACTAAAAGAAATTTGATCTCTTTCTGAAATTCACAAGTACACGGGGATAAACAAATAAAAATACGATTTGCTATCACTGTGTATAATGGCTAAATTTGAGAACAACCTAAATGCTCACTAATAGGGCATTGGTCAAATAGATGATGTACGTTCCTATGATGGAATGCAGTAGCGTTATGTTTTGAACAGGTCTTACTTAGGAGACATGTGGATCACATCACCACCTCCCACGTAGATGGCCCAGTGCTGATAGCGAATGCGGAAAATCTGAATCAGGTCTCCAGGCTCAGGTTCTTCACAAAACTGCAACAGAAAAACCAGAGATGGTGTAGACAGACTTCTAGGCAACAGTACAGACCCTGGCTAGGGAGCTGCGGCTCAGCCTGGGGACCCCGTTACTGATATTTATTACCTGGGGAGAACCTGGGGGGTGGGGAAGAGCTCATAACCTCTGGGGGATCCACATACTGCTATCACTTTTAGAAGTTCCCCCACAACGAGGCACTGGAACCCTGGAAAAAATGACCTTTGTGTAATGAGACAGTAGAGATTTCCCAGTGTGTGTATAATATGCGTGTGTATAGACGAGCTTGTGTGTTTTGTGTGATGAGCATGTGCATGTATGCATGTGTTTGTATGTGCATGACATGCAGATGTATATGTGTGTTGTGTATGTCTGCATTGTGTGTTCTGTATGTTGTGTATACATGTGTTGTGTGTTCATTCAGTGTGTGTAGTGTGTGTGTGTTGTGTGGGAATGTGTACATACTGAGGATTGGAGACAGGTGTATGCAGGTGCATTGTGCATGTGCTCCTGAGTGTGCTGACATGACAGCCCGCATGTGGCAGCCCCAGGCCCATCCCCAGCAAAATCAGGCAGGTGAGTCTTGGCTTCTCTGTCCTTCCCAGATGGACTCTCACAGCCTCATCATGCCTCCTGCCCTGCTTGGGCATGGTCGCACCAGGCACTTCCTCTTCCTCGGACTTGGTCCCCTTCAGACTTGGGACACCTAGCCCTGGAGACGCCCACCTGAGAGACATGAGCTGAGAGTGTCCTAACGGGTCCTGAGGCTTTGAGGGGCCCCTTGTGGGCCCCCCAGCTTCCATCACTGTGGGGGCTGCTGTGCTCACACAGCCGGCCTCTGCCTGCTGTTTTCCTACAATAACCACAACCCTCACGCCGCCCTGTGGAAGTATGACTCCATTGCTCAGGTTGGAGTCTGAGGATCAGAGAGGTGAAGGTGAAACAGCGCATAAAACACTGACCAGCTTAAACTAGTTTTGCTTCCTTAAAACAGGTTGTTTTAATCAAGGCTTGCTCAACCACATACACGGCACTGCACATGTGCCAGGCGGGAACCCATGACCCCAGGATGACCCCGGAACCAAGAATCTTCAGAAATGTTGCCACCGGGTCCCTTTATGAAGCCAGAAGTCCTTCAATAAGGAAAATCCAGCTTCCAGCAGCCAAAGTAGCTTGATTGCCATATAGGGACTGATTCGAGACTAGCCAATCAGCTTATAGGGTCCCAGATGCAGCTTAGGAGTCCCAAATCCTTAAATTTCACCCAAAACCTTGGATTGGAGAGACAAATTTGAGAACTTTGCTTCCTGTCTCCTTGCTGGTTGTCTGTACAATAAAGTTCTTTCTTTTCTCAAAAGCTGGTGCCATACTGTTGGCTTCTGTTTGCATCAGGCACCGAGCCCTTGCTCAGTAACAAGGGAACCTCCTGAGGATAGTCAGCTGGGAAGTGGCCAACCTGAGCCTTCTCTGCCACTCCTCTCCCTGGTCCTGATTCATCCCTGCCTTCCTCCCCTTCCATTCTCCTTCCTGCTCCTCAATATCCTGGCCCAGGGCACCACAGCTTTGTGACTGGAGAATTTTTCAGTTTTTCTCCCTCTCTGTGTCTGATCTCAGCAAATGACAAAACTCCTCCATCCTTCATCCCAGGCTGTCCAATCAGAGACCAGGGGTCAGCTGACCTTTGTCCTCTTTCTCATTCTAATACACAATAACCAATATTGACCCTGAAAGTTTCTCCTGAATTCACTATCTCATCCACCTCCCACCCGGTGACTTGGTTTGCAGCAGCCTCATTCCTGCCTCTGTGATCCCCCACGGCCTCCTGGCCACGCCCCCTCCTCCTGTCTCTGCCACTCCACATCCAGTCTCCCCAAGACCCACTGTGGCCTTCCCAAAGGGAACAACTGGTCATGAGCTTCCTCTGCCCCCAGAGTACTGGGCACACCGTTTGGTAGGTCCCAGGCCCTTTAAGACTGGTCTTTCCTCACCTCTCCTCACCCGCCCTACACTCTGCCCCGCAGTCTCCCTCATCAGAGAGCTTGCTCTTGCCTCTGCTGCTCTCCACATCAGGTGTCTCTGTGCCCAACCACCTTCCCCACACCCACACTTCCTCTCTCCCCATCAGACATCCCAGTATCATGTGTTTGCATCATTATCAGAGATTCTCCCCTCTGGCTGCACAGCTCTGTCACCTCCACCCCAAGCAGACCTCCAGGAGGAAGAGGGATCACCCCCAAGAGGGGCTTACCTGGGCCATGTTGGCCATGCCATATCTCAGATGGGTGACAAAGTTCTTATGCTTCCAGTCCAGAACGCTGTACTCCACCACCTGACCAATCTTCTCCTTCGCAGAACTGATGATCTTGCTCACAAGCCGTGGTGTGTACCACTGGTCCCAGTAGTTGTCGACCTGATAGTGGTAGCCGTTCACGACGTCCTGCAGGCGCTCCTGTTTCACCACCGCCCTTCTGCTCAGAATGGAGATGCTGGAGGAGCCAGCCTCAGAGTCCTCACCTGGAATCAGAGACACAGCCACCCAGGGCTGTAGGGGAAGGCAAAGTAGGGAGAGAGAAGGGGTGGGACAAGAAAGAAGGACAAAGGGAATCCCTATAGAGCCCTTGGGGTTTGTCCTTTCACAAATGTGATTGGAGAAGTCACATATCTTTCTCCTTTAACTTAACAAGCTGTGAGGATTTTTCAAGTCAATGAATGTCGGGATTGTCTATGGCTGCCATTCCATTCCATTATATGAATGTACGTCATCTATTTGACCAGTCCCCTATTAGTGAGCATTTAGGTTGTCCACGAATTTAGCTGTTATACACAATGATAGTAAATCATAATTTTTTATTTATCCCTGTGCGCTTGTGTGTTTCAGAAAGAGATCACATTTGTGTCAGTACCCACTGTGTTTCAGACACTATGCTGGGAAACTTTTCACATATTACCTAATTTAATCTCCTTTTTAACTTTCAAGGTAAATATTATCATCTCCATTTTACAACCAATATTGGACCCAGAGAGACACTTTCAGACTTTTCTGTGCTGTGGAAAGTGCTAGAACCCAAGTGTGAAACTGCCTCTCTCAACCTCCAAAGGGCAGGCTCCTTCCACGGCGCTGAGCTGAGCCTTAGGGAATCCCTCACGTGAGTGTCTTCTCTCCTAGGACTGGGCACCGCTCTGGGCACATGGAGAGGGCCACAGAAGAGCCATCAGCTCATGGAATCCAAATTCCATCCTAGGGTGAGTGCAGGCTTAATTTTCTAAGAGGGAGAGTCATTAATGAGCTCGCTAATTAAGCATGCTTATTTTAAGTTTCTAATCTAAAGGCTGGTGTTTGTACTTAGAATCCATTTCCTCAACAAAAACCGTCCACAGTCTGGAAGCTTGGCACAAAAAAACCACATGTCCTCACTGTCATGGTTTCTCTTCCAAGCCCTTCCTCAGGGTCATTTGGATTACCTGGGCTTCATTTATCATCAACTCAGATATTTTTACAGCTCTGTCAGGGTAGATGACAGCTTGTAGAAAAATGATAAGATGCAGATATGTCATGCTGACCATGATGACCATGATTTTTGTCCAGTGAGAATGCAGATGCTTTGTGGAGACGAGAACTTCAAAAGTAACGGTACCATTGCTCTATAGGACAAAAACCATTTACTTGGCAGGCTTAATCCAACATTGTTTTTTCTCTCATTGAATCATACATCCGTTCCCTGCATTCTTCTATTACCTGGCTTGTCATCCTGCTGCTTCTGTTATTAAAGAGCTAAATAAATCCTTCATACATACTCACTATGCAGTCGTATGAGAATTTTTTTGATGTGTAAGCCTATCAGAGCTGCTTCTGTTAAGGAGTATTAAGTAAATTCTCTCAAGACACCTTGTCTGTGAAATCGTCTGAGTACAAACGACACAGCACTGAGAAACACGTTCATGTTAAGATGTTTAAGACTATACATCTTAAAGTTTCTTTAAAGAAACTATTTCTGTCGACCTTCAGAAACTTTTGTGGTTGAAGTCATACGAGAGTCTGCATACCAGGGTAAACTGGTCAGCTGGGCAGATCTGAAAGCTGAAGCTCCCCAGCTTCACTGGATGAGCCCACGAACCTCTTTCTCTCCTTCTGTCAGGACCTCTGGGACCCGCTGTGATGACTCAGTGGGCTATGATGTACATTCTGCCCAAGTGCTGTTCGGGGAAAATCCAACTCAGGTTTCCCTTACTCAGCTCCTTCTTTCCATTGTTCTCATCATGGTAACAAATATTTTAAAAGTTATATTTTCAACAGTCCTTACTTAGAGGAGCCAGATGGATCACATCGCCACCTCCCACATAGATGGCCCAGTGCTTAGAGACAATATTGTAAATATTAATGAGGTCCCCAGGCTCAGGTTCTTCACAAAACTGCAAGAGAAAAACCAAGAGATGGTGTTAAAAGACTTCCAGGCAACAGCAGAGACGCTGGTTAGGAAGCTGCAGCTCGGCCTGGGGATCTCCTTGCTGATGTCATCAGCTGGTGAGAGCCGGGGGTGGGCTGAAAGGACCAAGCCCATGTGGCGTCCTCTGCTTGCTTTCAGTTCTGGTGATTTCTCCACAACTAGGGGCTGGAAGGCTGGAAAAAATGACGCCTGGAATAAGAGAGAGGGAAATTTGTCCATGTGCATATTATGCACATATCTGTGTGTGCACATATGTGTTGTGTGGTGTGCATGTGTGTATATATAACCATGTATATATGTGCACGTTAGACACATATAAATGTGTGTTCTGTGTATGTCTGTGTTGTGTTCACATGTGCATTGTGTGTTCTGTTGTGTTGTATATGTGTGTGTGTGTGTTTTGTGTACCTGTGTGTGCTGTGTGTGTGTGTTGTGTTTGTAAGTTTGCGTACTTAGGATGAAGACGGGTGTTTGCAGGTGCTCCTGAGTGAGTTGACATGACAGCCTGTATGTGGCAGCCCCAGGCCCATCACCAGCAAAGTGAGTCTTGAGCTTCTCAGCCCTTCCCAGACAGGCCGTCAAGTCCTCATCACGCCTCCTGCCCCTGGATGTGCATGGCCACACCAGGCACCTCCTCCTCCTCAGACTCTGTCTCCTTGAATTTCAAGACACCCATCATTGGAGATGGCCACCAGAGAGACAGAACTGAGAGCATTCGAAAGGGTCCTGAGCCCTCAGGGGACCGTTGCGGGGCCACCAAGCTTCCATCACTGTGGGGGCTGCTGCACTCACACAGCCAGCCTCTGCTGGCCCTTTTCCTACAATAACTGCAACCCTCACACCATCCCCCGGGGAAGGAAGCATCACACCATCGCTCAGATGGTAGGCTGAGGATCAGAGAGATGTAGGTGGAACAGCACATAAAATATTGACCACCTTAAGCTAGTTTTCCTTCCTTAAAACAGGTTGTTTTAATCAAGCCTTGCTCAACCACAGACACGGCACTGCACATGTGCCAGGCGGGAACCCATGACCCCAGGATGACCCCGGAACCAAGAATCTTCAGAAACGTGGCCACCAGGGCACTTTATGAAGCCAGAGGTCCTTCAATAAGGAAAATCCAGCTTCCAGCAGCCCAGGTAGCTTGATTACCATATAGGGACTGATTTGAGACTAGCCAATCAGCTTCCATGGGCCCAGCTGCGGCTGAGGAGCCCCTAACTCCTTAAATTTCACTGCAGACCTTGGATTCGAGAGACAGATTTGAGAGCCTTGTGTCCAGTTGACTCCAAAAAAGTTCTTTCTTTTCTCAAAAGCCGGTGCCATAGTATCGGCTTCTATGGGTGTCGGGCAGTGAGCCCTTGCTCGGTAACAAAGGAACCTGCCTGAGAACAGTCAGCCAGGAAGCGGCTGGGCTGGGTCTTCTCTCCCGCTCCTCCCCTCGTACTGATACGGCCCTGCCTTCCTCCCCTTCCAGCCTCCTTCATGCTCCTCAATGTCCTGGCGTGGGGTACCATAGCTTTGTGATTTGAGAACTTTGCAGTTTTTCTCCCTCTCTGTACCTGATTTCAGCAAATGACAAAACTCCTCCATCTGCCAACCCAGGCTGTCCAACCTGAGACCAGAGGTCAGCTTACCTTTTTCCTCTTTCTCATGCCAACACCCCAAAACCAATACTGATCTTGGAAGTTTCTCTTGAATTCACTTCCTTGTCCTCCTCCTACCCACTCATTTGGTTCAGAGTAGCCCAATCGCTGTCTCTGTGACCCCCCTGAGCTCCTGACCAGCCCCCTCCTCCTGTCCCCACCACTCCATATCCAATCACCCCAAGACCCACTGTGGCCTTCCCAAAGGGCGCATCTGGCGATGACCTTCCTCTGCCCCCGGGGCACAGGATACACCCCTGTGGCAGCTCACAGCCCCTTCATACTGGCCTTTCTCCCCACTCTGTGCATTCCCTGCCCTCTGCCCCCCAAGGCCCCCCCCCCCCCCCCCCCCCCCCCCCCCCCCCCCC